GCGGGCGCGGCGGCCGTCGAGTGCGACCTGGACCTGAGCGGCGTGGCGCGCGGCCCCGCCGAGGAGGCGCGCTGGCTGGCCGGGCTGAGCCTGGCCACCACGGCGCTGGGCTTCGCGCTGCCGCTGCTGCTCATGACGCTCTGCTACTGCGCCATCGGCGCCACCGTCAGCCGCCACTTCCAGCGGCGCGCGCGGCAGGAGGAGGCCCCGCGGCGGCGGCGCCTGCTGCGCATCATCGCGGCGCTGGTGGCCGTCTTCGCGCTGTGCTGGCTGCCCTTCCACGCGCTCAAGGGCCTCTACGTGCTGCACTGGGCGGGCCAGCTGCGCCTGCCCTGCGACTGGCTGGCGCTCATCCTGCGCCTGCACCCCTACGCCACCTGCCTGGCCTACGTCAACAGCTGCCTCAACCCCTTCCTCTACGCCTTCTTCGACGGCCGCTTCCGCGCGCAGTGCCTGCAGCTGCTCGGCGTGCGCCCGGCGCTGCGCGGCCAGGCGGGCTCCGTCTCGTCCACGCTCAGCGGGCAGACGCAGAAGTCCGAGGTGGCCTCCTCGGGCACCAAGGTGTGACGCGCACCGGCCGCCGGGACGCCGCCCGGCCAGAGAGCGACCGCGCGGGACGGCGCCTGCCCGCGCTCGGACTGCGCCCGGCGCGGCGCGGAGGCTCCGGCGCGCCTGGGCCTCTCGCTGGACGTGCCGGAGGCGCGGAGACTCGCCCTGCGCGCGCCCCTCTCCAGGCGGACAGTCGCGTCGCGGTGCCCTCGCCACGTGCCCCCGCCGCGGTGCTCCGTGCGGCCCGCCCGCTCGCCCTGCGGGCAGGCCCGGGTGACTCTCCTCGCGCTTGTAAGCAATAAACGTGGGTTTCTTCCCTCCTCAGGAAAACGACGCAGATTTTTCCCCGTCCCCGGACGTGCGCGTGGGGGGGGGCGGGTGGAGCGGGCAACTTCGCATTCCTCATGGGGAGGGGGGGTAGTTTGGCTAGGCTGGGGAGGTTCCACGGAAGGAAAAGTCTGCAGACTGCTGGGGCCCCGGCCCAGGTTATCGCAGGGAATTTTACCCAGGAGGCCTTACGTGTCCAACGCTCCCTCGAGTTCCCAGGTTCCCGGATTATCCTGCTAGAAAAAAAGGCGGCTTGGCTTCCCGGGGCTTGTTGGGCGCACTGCCCCGATTTCCTGCAAGGGGCTGGGTGACGAGGGGGGGGGGTGGCTGCCCGAGCGTTCTGTCCCCAAGGGAGCTGCCGCTCCCAGTGCCCCCAGACCTCTCATGCGACGGAGGAGGTGGCAGCGTGCAGAGCGCTTTGCTCAGCACCAGCTCCCGAACTGAGGAAAGCCCCTCCACATCCACTGCCTCAGGTTGTTAAGATGCCTGGGACAGCCAGGCTCCTTTCTTCCCTGGTGCTCTTTCCACGCTGACATTTAGGCTGGAGATCGTAGCTGGGATGCGTCGTCGTGCCCTTTCCCCCCTTGCCCTCCCCGCTTTCCCTCTCTTTTAACACACATAAGTAGCCGTCACGCATGCCTCTCTGGAGGAGACCCACTCTCTGAGGGCCACGGCTGCATCTTGCAGCCAGTTCCAGCGTTTAACTGCACTGGGCGAAGAATGTCCTTTTATCTGCCCTGAATCTCCTCTATTGAACTTCATGGGGTGATCCTGCTGGGCTGTAGTATTCTGAGAGGGGGACAAAAATGCCTCCCTCCGATCTGACCGCACCGGGCGCAGTGTACACAGCCCTGCGGATGGCAAGTGGAGAATGAAACGGAGAAGCGTTGGGAGCGACTGGGCTGCAGGAGCGCTCGGCTCGGCTCGGCTCGGCTCGCGGGCATGTTCGCAGCAGTGCTCCAGGTCAGATGGATGCCCTGTGAGGATTCATTCCAGGTCCCATTTGTAATTCAGCACAAGGGAGAGGCAACCCATGGCAGAAGGTCTGGAGGCTACTCTTCCTCTCACCCACAGAGACCACTTTGGAGTTTGCTTCGGATAAAGAGATTCCATGCTTTCTCAAGTCACTGCATCTGGAAACTTTGCCTGCTGGGGACACAACAGGATGTGCATGTGTGCGTGGAGGGGACGGTGCAGTTCCCACAAACACTCCCTGGCATCGTTCAGCGGCAGAAGAAGGTGAGGGCAGGGCACGCTGAGCTGCAGCCAAATACTTTGGTCTGGCTTTCTCCCTTCAAAGTCATCCTTCCCACTGGGAGCTGGGCATGGGCATCACTCTGCAGCCACCTTGCTGTCCTGACCAATACGAGCCCCCCTTGCCCCCAGACACGACACCGAACATGCAGGGTGGCCAGAGGAAGTGTTGAAGGATGCTCAAAACCCAGAGCAAAAAGGGGGAAAAAACAATGGCTAGAGATCTCTCGGGGGGAGGGTGCAAAAAAGAGTTTTGGGGCGGGTTCTCGTGGAGATTGGATGCTGTCCCAGTGGTGCACTGAGGATTTCAGAGCCTGGCATTCCTGATCTTATCCTCCCCCTGCCTCGCCCCCCCCACACACGCACTTTTCAATGGCCGTGTGCACTCCTGAAGCTGTGAAGGACATGACTAACATCTCTCCCCACCCAGGACCCCAGCAGTCACCACGCCTTTCTCTGCAAGTGCTCCTCCATTTCTGCGTTACAGCAAAAACAAAAATAAAAAGTTGCCGACTCCGACGGACCGACCGACCTTTCAGCATGGGCAGTTTTGTATTTTAGACACACAAACTGTGACTGTGGGAACAAAGCAGTTTGTTTCTGCGCCTGCCACCCTCTGTGTGGTCGTGTGGGGCTGGAGCTCAGCTACGAGGCCCTGAAGCTTGAACATGAAGCTGCACCCCTGTGCAGCTGCCAAACACAAAATGCAAAGATATAATAGGGCACCCTTCCTGGAGACCCTGACAATTGAGATTTGGTCAAACTAATCCCAGCTGCATCTACGTACAGGCCAAAAATTAAGCAGAAGCTGCCCTGTGGATGCCACTGCCTCTAGTGTTGATGGTGTAATGCCAAATCTGTGCCCAGACTCAAACTCACTGCTCCCTGCTATGCTAGAAGTCTCTCAACGCTCACTTCATCAAAAGGTGGGGATCTTTCCTCTTTCCACACACACAAGTGAAAGTCCCCCAAATCCCCTGAAGAACTTTTGCACCGGGCTGGGAGCAATTGGAGACCTGTTGTTAGCAAAGATACGGGATTCGATTTGCAGGCCTTGAAAAAGGTGAAAGCAACAGTTAGCTTCTTCCAGATTCTTAGGAATGGAAACAGCAGCATTTTTGTGGATTCTTGGCACACCCAAATATTTGCACACCTACTGTTTGATCTTTGCATACATCAACAATGCTTAATACAGTGGTACCTTGGTTCACGAACTTAATCCGTTTCACGACTCTGGTTGCGACCCAAATTGGTTGTGAACCAAGTTAAATTTCCCCAGAAGGTTCAGTGTAAGTAAGGTTAATATGTTCTGTAAATATTTTTTTAATCACAGAGAAGACAGGCACAATCGCAGGTGCTCTTGGGGGGGGGGGGACAGGCGTGATCGTGGGCGCGCTTGGGTGGGGGAGATGGGCGCAATCGCAATCAACACCTGATGTGGAGTTCGCAACCAGAGGAAATGTTTTTCCTAAATTTCTGTTCGCGACCTAATTTGGTTGTGAACTGAGATGTTCGTGAGCCGAGGTACCACTGCTCCCTTCTGCCTTGTCTTTCATGGACTTCAAAGCTCTTCTGTTGCTGAACAGTTACTGGAGAAATATATTAGTATAGGCCACCCCAAATGCAAAACCAAGGAGCATACTTTGGCTTAAAGTTCTTACTGCAAGTGACCAAGCCTTAGGAGAAGTATTGCAACCCTTCAGAATGAGTAGGGGGAGTGTCCGAAGCTGGAAATCAGTGCTTGGGAGCAGGGAGTGACCAGCTTGCCAGACAGACACCCTGATCTGGGCCTGATGTTCTGCACCCTGCTTTGCTGAATCTGCAGGGGTTCATCTCTAAGCTCCCTTCCAACTCTAGGATTCCTAGCAAGGTAGGGCCCAAAACCCCCAGGCCTACTGAAAATACTGGGCAGTTGGGTGAATGGTCTCACTCAGTATAATCCAGCTGCATTCTTGTGAAATTGTCCTGTTATTAAAAAAAACCCTGGCCGAACAAACAATCATTGCAGCTTCCACTGTAAATGACTCCACTTAGCTAAGTGTGCACTGTGTGTAAAGAAGGACCACCTTCTATCTCATTGTCACAAAATAAAATGGCCATCCGGCTTGCTACTATTAGGAGAGAGGGAGAAAAATGCTTCTTGGCTATCACTAATTAAACCTCCAGCTTCGTCTTCCAACCTTCGGAACAATTCGGGTGGCAAATGACGTCTTCCTCCCGTAACTTGGGTGTTTACTCTCTAAGCTGCACTGTTTATTTTATTCATTGAGAAAGTCTTGAGGAGGTTAATTTAAACCACAGATCTCTCAGCTCTCACCCTGAGAGCTTCTTCCACTTATCCTGGCAACTTCTTTACTTGAACTCAGAGCATTCAAACTCTTCTTGCTCACAGCAGGACTTCCCACTGCCATCATTGTCTGTTGTGGTGACATCTTTCGATGTGGTGTATTATCATATTAATTAAGCAGTTAAATAAATGTTAGGTAAGGATGCAGTCCAAGTACTTGGCCATCCTGGAGGCACATACAGCTCTGCACTCAGGGGCTCGCATGCTCCAGCGCATGGTGTGATGCACGGAAATGGTGCTCTTAGCGGCCACCATGCCCCGTGCCCTGCTTTCCGTTTAGATGGCCACGTTCAGCCATCCAAATGAAGCACCACAGAGAGGGAGGGCAGGAGGCTGGTTGTGTTCGGAGGCCAATCGGCCACTGGTCCTAGGCGTTCCCCCTCTGCACTTCCCCAGCACACCCCCTTTCCTTCTCTCCAAGGCTGATTTCTGACCTTGGAGAGTCAGTCAAGTGACAAACAGGGCGGGGGAGGCAGCTCTGTTTTCAGAGCCCCAATTCCAAGGCTGGGAAGCTATAGGATCGCACTTGAAATCACACGTATGTTAGCTGAGGTAAATAAACAGTGGTATTGAACAATTGTATTTGAAGGAAATTGAAGACTGAAGCAGAAAAAGCACGTGCTCCTTGTCCTGCAGAGATGCCGGGCCTGTGGGTAGGGTAGCAAACACCATCTTTGAAAAGAGGTATCTTCTGCGTGCAGAAAAGGGCAATGGCTTCTTGAAGGCAGCAATTGCCACATGCAATTTGAAATAGATGTCAGTGTTAAAAAGTTTTTTTTTAATGTCTGCTACCAGTCTGACTCAGGTACCTCACAAAGGTTAAAAAGTAGTTAGTCCATGTAAACACAAGAATTGCATTTATAGCACATTCCATACCTTGAGTATCCTTTGCCAGTCTAATGGCTTCCTGATGTGTTGGACTTCAATGCCCATCAGCCCTGGCTAGCATGACTAAGGGTGAAGGATGATGGGCACTGAAAAGGGCACCAGGCTGGGGAAAGCTGCTTTGCAGTGACCCTGTGAAGTAATCTTGCATTATTGCCAAACCTGCATTTTGCAGATAGGAGGAGCGGCACTGCAAGGAGCTTGA